GGGCTCTACATACCGTAGCCTATCCTCTAGTTCTTTATTGGGCCGATAATATATCGTAGAGGAACTCTTAAACCAGCACATCAAAGATGCGTAGGAGAAAATATGTATCTGTGGGGCTTGATCTTTTATTTCAAAAATAAAATAAAAAATTTAAATACTGTTATAACAAATTCGGATTTCAATTTTACGATTAAATAATACATACACAAGTTTGAGTCTTATGAACTTAAGCTATTTGTCATTCCTATATGTGTATAACTTACAAATGACATTTGGAAGAAACATAAGTGTAATCAACACACTTGGAAAGAAATACAATAGTGAATTTTAACAAAAAAATAGTGTAAACATTATTGTGGTTGTGGTAGAGAAATAAAGGATAGAATTTAAGCAAGCAACCACATAAAAAGAACAAATGTCAACAATCAAATTCAGTTCATTTTTTTTTTTTGGTAAGAATCAAATTCAGTTCATTAAACTGATGTTTATAAAATTCAAATTAAAGATCTAACAAAAAATTAAAGGTTCTTTGGGAAAAATACCACGAGGCAAAATAGCATTAATATTTTCTCTATCTTTAGAAATCCATATTAATTATTTTTGTTTTTTAACTTTCTAGATGCATAATTCCAATTAAGTATTTGATTCTTTGAATCCAATACCTCAAATTAGCGATAAAACATACAGTAAACTTAAGAAGGCATAGAATGGAAGATATACATAATCCAGTCCATAATTACTCCGTCACATTTGTTTTTTTATATATATATTACACTGAATTAATGTTTAAGAAGCCTCCGTAGCATAGTGGTATTGCGTTCGCTTCGTAAGCGAAAGGCCGCGAGTTCGATCCTCGCCGGGGGCTTTTTCCTAAATAATTCTTTTTTTTTTGAAAAGTTTTTTTTTTTAATTTCCTTAAACTTCCAAAAAAGAAAAAAAAATCCTTTTTATCTCTTTCTTTTTTCATGAATAACATACACATACAATTCTCAATTCTTTTTAGCCACAATTTCCATTATTCAACAATATACATAATCATCAAAAAACAAACAATTGAAGGAAATTTCCCTCCTTACCATAAATAATAATTATAGTGAAAAAATATAGTAGAAAAGCCCTTCAAAAATCCCAATTTCTTCTCGTCGGAGATTTCTAAGTAAAACCCTAGAACTAACCATTATATATAAATATATATTCATCCCTCCCCTGTCTCCTACTTTGTCTTCTCTTCGAACTCATCTGAGATTCTTGATTCTGCTTCTCTTCTTATCGTCCAAGGTATTGCTTTTGCTCATTGTTTATGTTTCTCCCTTAAAAGTCTTTTCCTTTCTGGTGGAATACAGATATATGGAGTCTTAATTTCAATTTATAGATTCATAATTTGCAAGTAACTCTTCTTGAGCTATAAGATCTAATGAGATTTGTGAATTCCTTAGTGTAGATTTGAATGGCAATGTGAGGCTATAACTCTTGTTTGAATCAGATGAAACAAATTCATTACTTGTGGTTCTTATGAGACAACTTGTTTGATTATTTTTCTGACCCTTAGTGAATCTCTTGAATTAGGTAGAGATGGCACTTGAATCAAATGCTCCTGTGGTGGATCCAAACACTATTGGCAATTCGTTTGTTGAGCAATACTACAACCTCTTGTATAAGTCACCAGCTGTAGTGCATCAGTTTTATCTCGACGATAGTGTTTTGGGCCGCCCCGGTGCTGATGGAGAGATGGTTTCTGTCAAATCCTTAAAAGTAAGCTACAATTTTCAGTTGGATGAATCGAAAACAAGTTCATTGTTCGAAGCTATTTATCCGTGTTAATGTCATTGTTCAAAGTTTTTGTTTTTAAGAGTTCTTTATTCTTGTTTGCAGGCTATCAATGAGCAGATTATGTCCTTTGATTACAAAATCTCAAAGATTCAGATTTTGACTGCTGATTCCCAAGCATCTTACAAGAATGGAGTTGTGACTCTAGTCACGGGTTTACTGACCGTGAAAGAGGGGGAGAGAATGAGATTTTCTCAATCGTTTTTCCTTGTGCCGCATAATGGAAGCTACTTCGTGCTGAACGATGTCTTTAGGTATGTCGCTGATGAGATTGTTGAACCAGAAGCTAACAAGAAGGAGGTCGAGGAGGTGATTCCTCAAGTGGTCCAATCAACAGTCACTGTTTTGGGTGAGTATTGGCTAATGATTTTTTGTCAATCAGAAAAATTAGAATGACATTTCGGATTTCATAAGAATATTCGGTTTTGATCAGCAGAGCCGGCGAATGAAGTTGCAGAGCCAGTTACTATCCCTAGTCAACAGCCCGCAGCGAAACACACTACTGAAGATACAGTGAAGAAACCAGAAAGAGCTGTAGCAAATGGACATCCCAAAACCCAGGAGGAAAAAGTTGTGAACGATAAAAGCAATGCTGTGGATGCTCCCAAGAAATCATATGCAGGAATTGTGAGTTCTCTTTTTGTGTGAAATCCAATGCTATGGCTCAATCTTGCTTATATAATCTAAATATTTTGCAACTTACACTTAGGTTCAATCTTTGGCTCAAAACGGTGCTACATTCAATGTCAAAGGTTCTCCTGCAAAGCCTAAGTCTAAGCCTGTTACAAAGCCGAGTGCTGCTCCTGAATCCAAAGCTCCTGCGCCGGTTTCTGAACACTCTTCTGCTGAAACAGTCGACCAACCAGGTTTTAATTCAATGTTTTAACATTTCGGGAAAACCAATTCCTTTCAACTTCTTCTATGTCTTAATATGATTTTACCATTTCCGTGTATCATCAGGTTGTACGATATTTGTTGCCAACTTGCCCATGGACGCGACACCAGAGCAACTCAATGAAACCTTCAAAGGTTTTGGATCTATTACGAAAGATGGTATCCAAGTGAGAAGTTACAGGGTGAGTTGGTCATTGAATGGATCTTTTAAAGAAACTTGTTTTCCTTAGTTTCGCAGCCAAAAAATTTGAATCCTCATCAAGTTTATCTTTTTCAGCTGAAGGGAAACTGTTTCGGGTTTGTGACATTCGAATCTGCTGAAGCTGTGAAATTGGTCCTTAAGGTATGTTTCAACATCAACGAATTTCTTACAAAGTTTTGGTTATAAATTAGATTCTTCCTCTGATGTCCTACTACATAACTCTAGGCTCACAAAGGCTTAGCCATCAGAATCGGAAACCGCAAAGTTTCAATAGAAGAGAAACGAGGTAAGTCAATATAAAGATTAATAATGTCTCCAAGATCCTAACTTCACGATATAAAGACTGAAACCCTTGGTTCCACTGCAGGCAACAACGATAATGGAAGACCCTCAATGCGAAATGGAGGTTATAGGAACGAGAACGGTTACAGAAACGATGGGGTTAGGCCTAGAGGCAACGGGTTCAATGGAGGTCGAGGCTATGGAAGAAATGGATCCGAGAGACGGGGTGAATCACGCAACGGTGAGGCTTACAATGGTGATGGCAAAGTTCATCAGAACGGTATGGTAAAAGCTGGCCGTGAAAATGCTCAATCCAGAGGCTAAACAAGTTTGAAGTCATTTTCTTAAACTCTGATGTGTTCTTATTGTTCATTTGAAACTGAGAATCTGAAGTTTTATAGGAAGACATAGTGAGAGGGACAGAGAGAGAGAGAGATTAGAAGTTCTTTTGGAGTAGGTTTATCTCTTTAGGTGATAATCCCTTCTTTCATTTGAGATTTTGTTTGGGATAACAAAAATTTGATGATTACTTTTACTTTCTAATCTGATTCATCTTCATTTGGTCCGGTCTGGTTCGCAAACCATTCTTAACCAAAACTAAACCGGAAGTTCGATGTAAATTGATTGAGAAATATTCTTTTTCTCAAAATCAATATAAATCGATTTTTATAAAAATCGAAAATGAAAATGGACTGAAATTTTTTAGGACCGAATAAAATCTTCTTTTCGATTCAATAAGAAGAAGAGGACAAACAAAAAAAACTGAAATTTCCAAAACCGAAATGGGCAACGAACCCTTGAACGTATGGGCTTGATGTGAAAGTGAATGGTGTTGGTCGTCAACGACGTCGTATTGTAGTTTTCTCAAGTTAGCATTATTACTTGAACCAACAGGTGAAGAACACGTAGCATTTTTGGTTTTAAATGGTTTAAAGATCTTCACGTCCCCACTTAACTCAACAAAATGACCCACCAAGGATTCTAAAAATCTTCTTTTCGATTTATAGATTTCATTCTCAAACCTGAACTATCACTGAATCAATAATAATCAAACTTTTTCACTAAGTTATGTAGCTCATTATGTTAATTTAAACACTTCTCCATCAAAAGATTAGTCGTCAATAATCAAGCTTTACCATATTAATTACTTTATATTATCATTGTTAGTCTTTCAGATTATAGTACTAGTTTATTGGTGAATTTGCCTTTTTGTAGAAGTAGTATTCAATTACGTTTACATGGAGAGTGTTTTTATTCTCCTTTCACTTTTTCACAAGCAACTTGCTTGCTTCGTGGGTCCTTTGGTCTAACCCACGTGAGTGACGTTGTCGAGTCGCTAGATTTATCATATTCAAATTATATGTCGTTGTGTTACCTCTCAAAATAAAATTAAAAATTTACAAGACAAATTTCATTGTGAAATTTATAAATCAACGATACCACGAGTAATCAGGTCTTGTCATTTTCTTGATCTCTATACGTTTATGTCTAATTTTTTACGGACTTTGTTATTTTTTGAGGTTTTCGAGTTTGAGTTTTTTTTACTTTTACAAAAACTTGTGCAAAAAGAAATTAAAAAAGAAAAGGGAAAAAGGAGAAAACGGATCTTTTTACTTGGGAGACACGTGTCGAGACACTGGATAACTCAGTCACTTTACGACACGTTTCTTGAAGCAGCACTATGGAACGCCGACGTAATCCACCGGCCACGTGTCGTTCAGGCAGATCTCTCGGCGGCCACTTGCCTCCTCCCAGTCAAGGCCTGTCTCTCTTTCTTTCTTTCTTTCTTCTTCTCTCTCTTTTCCTCTGATGTCCCCAAAGGGTCTTCTTCTTCTTCTTCGTCTCTGCTCTTCACTTTCAATTGTAACCTCTTCGTCTTCTTCGCCGTCTCTGGTAACAACTCCGGCGAGTCTTTTTTTTTTTTTTTTTTACTTTGATGTGAATTTGCGAGATTTACTGTTTAATTCATGATAACAATTTTAGATTTTTGATCGGATGTGAAATTCAGAGTTTTTCATAACAAACGAGAAACAAAACAAAAATCTATTTTTCTTTCTTCTATTGTTTCGGAATCTATGGGTGAAGCAAGCAGACAACAAAGGGCATGGAACAGAGAAATGACGGTTACGACAAATCTTTCTTTAGACATAGACAAATACCCGAGAGATCTGTTACGAGGTTTCATGTCTGAAAACGGCGGTGGAAGAGCCTTTCACGGCGGAGAATTAGGCTGCGATGATGAGAGTGCCATTGAGCTGAATCTTGGGTTGTCTTTAGGAGGTCGATTCGGAGTAGACAAGACTCCGAGGAAGCTGAAACGATCTTCTTCTGTTTTGGACACTGTACCATTCAACGATTCAACGGTGGCTGAGCCTGAGAATTACACGGTGGGTTTAGAGAGAACGACGTCGTTACCGGCGGAGATGGAAGAGGAATGGAGGAAAAGGAAAGAGATGCAATCTCTTAGAGAATGGAAGCTAAGAGAAGGAGATGTGAGAAACAGAGTTTCAGAGTTGGGAATTCTGATGACCAAACGGTGTCGTTTGAGAATGAGAGATGGGTTACTGCGAGTAAAAGTGGCTTCTTGCAGAGACATTTGGTTTCTTCTAATAGACAAGTGTGTGGTGTTGATTCCGATGGAGGAGGTGGAACAGGAGGAGGTAGCTCATCGAGCTTGTCGGAACTAGACAACAAGAATCAGCAAGGTATATTTCAATACATTGTTGGTTTTTAGACTCAAGATTAGTAACACTATAGTGGAAAATTGGATATTTGTCATTGAACTTGTGGAATCGTAGAATGAGTGAATGTAAAACAACTCTCTGTGAAAAAAGTTTGATTTGTATGATTCAGTGGAAGACTGATCAGAATCTATGTGTTGCAGGATCATCTAACAGCTGCAATGATGAAAGAAGCCCGAAGATCGTGGCAGGATGTTCTTCGAACAGCGGAAGCCAGGGAACAGAGAAACCGAGTGTGACTAGAGCCGACAAAGTGAATGAGAATGAGAAAGGAGTGAGAAAAGAGGACTCGGTGGATAGGAAAGGAAAAGGGATGGCTACGTCTACTGGTTTGGTTGACATGCCTTGTGTGTTTACGAAAGGGGATGGGCCAAACGGAAGACGGGTTGACGGGATTTTGTACAAGTATGGAAAAGGAGAGGAAGTGAGGATAATGTGCATTTGCCACGGTAGTTTCTTGACACCAGCTGAGTTTGTTAAACACGGTGGCGGAGGAGATGTGGATCGTCCTCTACGGCATATCGTTGTCAACACTTCTTCTTCGACCTTTTAAATAGAAGAATCGGTAAAGAAACCAGAGGTCTTTTGTTCTTTGTTTCATTTTTCTTGTTGTTTTATCTTTTAAATCTCTAGTTTTTGGCTATAAAAATGAATGCCAAATCTCAATCTTGATGAAGATCAAGATTCTCTTGTTTTAGGTCTATTACTTGTGAGTTGTGAACATGAAAGTATCATCATCAAATGATTCTTTCTCAAGCTCTCGCGTGTAATTTAAGGCCTCTCTGCAAAGTGCGTATAATTGATGTGTAAACACTACAACAGTTTAACAAGGAACAATTGAATACAGAAGAGCTCGAGCAGTAGCAAAGTTTTTATGAAGCAAGTGTTGTTGCAGGACAACTATCAACCGTACAAGCCAAGATGTCTCTGTAATCTCTTGATATAGTGAAAGAATCATGGACTCGTCCGTCGCTGCTCTTCTTGTACTCAAACAGAAGATTAGAGTAATCAAAAGCTGTAAGTTTAACGAATCCGTAATCGTAGTCTCTGAAGAGACTCCAATTCGGTTGAAGATCAGAGAATGCAGCAAGACCAGCTCCTCCACCTCCAGCAACGACGTGAATGGTTCCATTCAATGGACCTTTGTAGTTGCTTTTCTCATGATTTGTGCATACACTCTACACACAAGAAAAGAAACACAACAATGGAATGATTCCTTTTTTTTTAAGAATCATTAGTCGACATGCCAGTATAGGATGTTTACCTGGTAAACCGGGCATGTTCTCTCGTAGTTATGAGCGTGGCCAAAGACCGCAATGTCGACTTTGTACTTCTGCCATAGCTTTTGAAGAGTGTCTCTTCCCATTGGTTCAGCAAAAGAGCCTTCTTCCGCATAAAACGATGTGGAAGAATAACCGAGAACACGGTGAGCGAGGAATATCAGCCACGGCTGCTTTTTCCTGTCGACTGATGCTAAGCAGTGTTCAATGAAGTTGTATTGCTCTGTTCCTTCTCTCCAGTCATGTTCTGTATCAACCACACAGAACCTAAACATCCCATAGTCACTCGAGTACCAGAACTTAGCTCTGTTTTGAGCAGGAACGTGGAACATTGTCTCAGCTGGTACACCACATTCTCCTCCAGAGTCTAAACCCTGGTACAACGATCCTGAGTTAGGCCAGTCACGCTCATGGTTTCCGCTGCAGAGAGTCAAATTTCAAGACTCGGTAAACAAGAAAGCCAGCAGCATTGTCTATAAAAAAAGAAACAAAAAAGCAAAACCTTGCAATCATGTATGGAACAGTTGAAGCAATTGGCTTAATCTGTGCTATGAATTGGTCCCATTGAGAAAGGTATCCATTTGCATAACAGATATCTCCAATGTGGAAAACTGCATCAGTCTTCTTTAAATCTTTAATAATTTGCTTTGTGGTGTTGAGAGAAGCGCGTTGGAAATCATTATACTCGTTTGAGCCATCGACCTCTGCCTGCAACAACATGGCACAAGAAAAGGTATAAATGCGGTTTTGAGACTACTACAATAAACAATCTGATATGTTTTAAGACTAAAAGATCAAACCTTTCCCATGTCTCCAAAGATAACAACTTGTTGGAGAGAGTTTTGGCCCGGGAAAGGAGAAGATTTGAATTGATACTCTTTACTCCAGATCAATGCACCATTGGACAATCTATGCCCAACTCTGTAGGTATACCTATATAATGACCAAATCAAAGCTCAGTGATTCCTCCATGTAGCTAATTCATCGGTTCAAAACAGAGAAAACACATGGCACATACTTGGAATTTGGCCATAATTCTTTGAGAAAAGCTGTGTGTATGTATCCAGGATCACGCCATCCAACCGTCCTTGCAGGAGCACCGCACATGCTGTTACGCCCAAAGGTCAATGTTCCAGCAGGTGAGAGTTTCAGTTCTCCTCCTTTAACGCCCCACTCAACAACAGGTTCAGCTAAGTGGAGTCCATAACCACTAGTCCATGTCACTGTCATCTATTTACAAACTCAGTTTCACTTCTTTGAGGTCAGTAGCACAGAAAATGATCACCAAAAGGGTTTTTAGAATCTTACTTCATCCCATTCTTTGCCTAGCGCCAATCGCGGATAAACTGGTGCATTTGGGTTCTCAAAAGCTACTTTGTTTGAGATTGCCACAAGCTTTGGCTGTCACACAAGAAAAAGCAAAACCAAGGGATGGTTAAAGATGAAACAAAAGAACCTGTAAAGCTAGAGAAGTTGTAGGTGAATGAGTGTTACATTCAACAAACCGCCAGAAAAGAGCGCGAAGGAGAAATCTGATCTCTGGTTGATCAGTTGAAGCTTCAAGGAACCAATTCCAGTATTGGTGTATCTTGGATTACTAAAGTTTGCATATTGAAACTGTAAAGAAAGAAAAGGGAGCAAAAAGCTAAAGACTTGCTGCAGAGAAGAAAAGCAGAATCAATGGTGAATAAGGCTATGAGAAAACAAGAAAACCTTGACAGGCGCGGAACAAAGTAGAGGTGGTTGGACCATTTTGTTATCTCCTGGACAAGTCGAAGCACTATAGGAATAACAAATGTGTTGACTTATTTTCAATCTCAGAATTAATTTGATGAGAAGAAGGAATGTGTTAGACTACTTGAAATCTGCAGGAGAAAACACTCCAATCCAATCATCATCAGATGGTTTTGGAGAACTATATTGGACCAACACCAATTCACTATGTTGACCCTGTAAAAGATATGCCTTGAAGTTTAGCAATTCATCAAAAGCTATGAGAAATAGAAGAAGAGAATGGTTATCATTACATTAGATCCAAGAACTGTTGGAGAGGCTTTGACATAAGCTTTTTCATTGAGATCAAATGTAATCTTATGGATAGCAATTCCTGATAAAGGTTGGTCTTTATGAGATTTCACTTGTTGAATTGCTCCAAGAACTGATACAACAGTCACCAAGATTGCAACTAACGATTCTCTCATGTCTTTTAAGACTGAAACACACACACAAATGAAACCAAATGTAGCAAAAAGTTGAACACTTTGGTAAATTATCAAAAACTAGCAATTGGATTCAAAAAGCAGAGTGAGGATATTACCAGTAACTTCGTGTTGCTTTGAATCAATTGGAGAAGATGAAAGATTGAAACTTTCAACTTTGAAGAAGATTAGATTATTATTATTATTTGTTTTTTTTTTTTTTTGAACACAGAAGAAGATTAGATTATTAAGAAGAGTCTTTAATAATTAGAATATCCAGTCTTGAGATTCCCCCCCAAGGATATAAAAAAGTCAAGACTTTGCTCGTCAACGGCCAATATATATGACAGTGACACTGGAGTAGAATTCACATCAGAAATTCAAATTTTGAGTCCAATGTTTTGATTAGTGGATCTTAAAATTGCTTAAATTTAGGGAATTCGAGAATTTTACTGTCTGAATGAGAAGAAGATTAGTCAAGATTTTAACATAAAATAGGATTAATACATTGAATCTCTAAATTTATTATACAATCAGTTGCTGTGTAAAAATCCTTCTTCTACTAGGCGCTACGCGCTACACATGATCTCTAATCTAAAGTCAATGCTTTTTTGGATATCGTATGGGCCATCGAATGAGAGAGGATTTAGTCATTTGTGTTTTGGGCAGAAGAGTGAAAGTTAGTTGTTGTTGTTGTTGTTAGGTTTTGCATGAAATCTGATCCATTAAAAGCCCAACAACCTAAGCTCAGAACGAATTGATACCAACATTGTAGTAAAAACAGAGAGTATAAATCAAATCAGTAAAAAGTAAAAACGCTTGCTTTTCTTCTTTGAAATTTGGATCATTTTTTTCCTATAAAGCTAGATAGAAAAAATAGAGCATTTTGAAAGATTTATTTAGTTCATATTGAATATGTTTATTTTAAGCATTTATCATATGCATCTACAAACGAGTTTTCTTTATGATGCCAATTTGCAATACCCTTGACTTGGCAACGAACATCATTATTCATCACTTTAATCACATGACAAACACAATCGCATTGGTGAGTGAGTGACTACAATAACCTACCTCTGGACAATGCTCTTTACAATCACTATCCTTCTTACAACATGGAGGTGGTGGTCCACGAAAGCCACCACTACCACCACCTGGACAGCCGCTGCATCTTGGTTCATTTGGCATACAAGAGTTTTGGTTGACAGAACTTTCACTATTTTGAATGGTATGTCCATTTTCTGCATATATTAATAAGAGATAAGAAACAAAAATACAATAATCTCTAAAAAAACTGTTTAAATAAAAATACTAAAAGAAAAAAAAATGAACTTTAAATATATATTTTTTCACAGGCTTAATTACTCTATATATATATATATATATATATATATATATATATATATATATATATATATATTTTTTTTACTTACGGACGACGGCGACAAGTAGAGAAACCAATAACAACATTTTAAAGCAAACGATCTTCATTTCTTTTTATTTTCCTTTCACTGGTGAAATTTTTTTATTGTTTGGTAAATCTTTTGATGGTGAAGTTGAAGGTATCATTGTACCAGAAAAAAAAAAAAAAAAGGAAGTTGAAGGTATTCTTCATCGATTTGTTATTTTTATAGTCCAGTTTAGGTGATGGTTAAATCATAATTTTTTTTAATATTTACACGTGGACTTATTGTAGTGTAATTGCTATTGCTATTTAAATTGTCTATCTATATCTTTTTTTTCAATCAGACTATGCTTTTATATTAGATGATTGACCCACATACTGTATATATTTTTTATATTTAGTCCAAAGATGATTCTACACTTTAAAAACCATGCATAATTTAGTGACCAAAATACTATTGAACTAGGATCGGACCCGCGGTCCACCGCGGGGGAATATTGGTTTACACACGTTGATTTTAATATTGTGCGTGTTTTTAGTCCAATCGTGTAATGTACTTATAAATATTCATAATAACAAATTGTAGAGAAAATGTTAAATTGTTTATAATTAAACCCATCATATTAATTATGATTTACAAAATGAAAATTTGTGTTTTAGAATTCTAAAATTAGACGATTCATGAGAATTAGAGCAGTCAAAATAGGTCAAAAACCACGGGTCGAGCCCAAATCATCTCACTATAGGGAAGATTTGGGAAAATTTATTAAACCCGCAAATAAGCGGGTCACATAGATTGATTCGCAGTGGGTCATAGGTTTTAATCGGTTTTCGTCCGCAGGTTGGCGGATCATCCCGTATTGATAAAAATATAATTTATTCAACATGTGGTAATTTAAAAACTTTTAGTAAATGAAATTATAATATTTATAAATATAATGATATATAAAGTTGTTTCTCTAATTTTTTTAAATTTATTTATTTTAGTAGTATTTTAAATTTTGGTTACTTTAAAATTATTTAAACAAAATCCACGGACAACCCCGCAAATCAGCATACATTCGCGGGACGGGTTTGTGTTTCATATATGCTACCCGCGGGTCGTGCGGACCGACTAACTACATGTCAAAATATATTTTGCCTATCGCAAAACGGGCTTAACGAGACGAATCAACTCGCTTTGCCAGCTCTAATGGAAATATTATTTAGTCATACAACAAAATAGAGTTTGGACATAGGAATAATAGAATCTGCATCTTATTTGTTAGATAAGAGATTGAAAGGTGAAATATAATGATTAAAAATTAATTAATATTTTCATGATTCACAAAATTTAATAAATATTTATCATCTTGTTGAATAAAATCTAAAAATCATATTCAAAAATTCTTTATAATTTGAAAATTAAACTTCTTTGGTAAGCTATAAGTATGAAAATACCATAATTTTGATTTAATCTAATTAAATTAAACTTAGTTACATGGATTTCATATCTATTTAATTTACATGGCCAAAATAAAAATATCTATTTAATTTATAAAATAGATGGGTTAGTTGTGATAAATTTTATAGAAATCTTTAGAAGCAATTAAGATATCTTTCAATTAATGGTAATTGGCTAAAATAAGTAAAATTAATGACAAAAACCTAGATTGTTATGGAATTAGTTCCTAATATATATGAACAAATATATTATACGTAATTAATGTATAGTATTGTTCGGAATATGCTTTTATAATTACTTACTATAAGTACAATCAGATTTTATTTGATTTCCATAAACATTTGATTTTAGTTCGATTTTTCATTATTAATTCGAATTTATATTCCAAAAAATTTCAAAGATCCGATTTCAGAATTGCAGGTCAATTTTCTGATTTTGACCCGACCCATTTTCATTTGTACTTCTCTTTTAATAGTATAGAGATAGAAACAAAATCGAGACCCATAATCATTATATGTATCTACACGTTCGGTGCCCTCAATATAACATAAAACATTTTGAAACAACAAAAGATTACACAGTTCTATTATTCTATCCTAGAAGGCATAGGTCGCCAGTACGTCTTTGTAATCCCTCGCTATCTCGAATGCGTCGTGGATGACTCCGTCGCTGCTTCTCTTGTACTCGACGGTGGTTAGGATGATGAAGCCAAAGTCCTTGTCGCTGAACAAGTTCCAGTTGGGTTGCATGCAAGAGAAATCAATTTGCGCTATGTCATACTTTATTGTCTCTAGTCTCTACAATTTTTTTAATAGTTTGAAAATAGATGACAATTACATGGACTAGTGGTTAATTGTCTTGGTTAGTCAAATTTGGTAGTAATATTTTGAAAATATAGTTCTTAAGTGATAATCACAATATATCTTCGAAATTTTTTTGTTTTAGCAAATTTTCTATAGAAATTTGTGCATAATTAAGCTCGTAAACATATATTTGCAAGTGTGATGTTTTTAGAAAAAAAATCATAGATTATTTTACTTATAATAATGCAACTCATCAACTAAATATGAAATTTCAATTTAACTTTTTTCTTATTTTTTTCTTAAATTTTGCTTAAGTTTTGCTTTAAAGAAAAAACTTTTGGATTTTACGGTCTATGATTTCTTTCAAGAGGTAAATAGAACAAGTCAAATTTGTTATTATTTTTTTCTGTAGCCAGTGTTCAAATTTAGAATCCGGTCTTATATATCTCTCAATTCGTTCCATGGATTTAATCGGTTGAGATAATGAAGTAAAGAAAAACTGCATTCGTAACACAATGCAGGTTTCTTTTATTTACTAATTACACCGCAAGAAGAGAAACGAGTAACTCAAGCTTTAAAGAAACTTCCTTCATTCTCCGAGATAACACTTTGTTTATATTCTTTGAGATTCGTTTGAAGAGCTATCAAGATTCTATGAAGCTATAGTTACTTACTGCAGAGCAACTATCAACAGCACAAGCCAATAAATATCTGTAATTTCTTGATATCGTGAAAGAATCATGGACACCGGCCGTCGCTGCTCTTCTTATACTCATCTTTAACCATCCAATATCCATTAGTTTTGCATTTTTCTTGTGTGATAGCCAAAGCTTGTGGCAATATCAAACAAAGTAACCTTAGAGAACCCAAAGGCACCAGTTTACCCACGGTTGGCGCTAGGCAAAGAATAGGATGAAGTAAGATCCTAAATCCTTTTGGTGATTATTGTCTGCGCTACTGACCCAAAGAAGTGAAAATGAGTTTGTAAATAGATGACAGTGGCATAGACTAGTGGTTATGGACTCAACTTTGCTGAACCTGTTGTTGAGTGGGGGATTAAAGGAGGAGAACTGAAACTCTCACCTGCTGGAACATTGACCTACGGGTTAGATGGCGTGATCCCGGATACATACACACAGCATGTGCGTTGCTCCTGCAAGGACAGTTGGATGGTATGATCCCGAATACATACACACAGCTTTTCTCAAAGAACTATGGCAAAATTCCAAGTATGTGCCATGTGTATTCTCTTTTCTGAACCGATGAATTAGCTACATGGAGGAATCACTTATCTTTGATTTGATCATTATATAGGTATACCTACAGATTTCAGCGTTATATATATAGGAATCACTAAAACTCTCACCTGCTGGAACATTGAGGAAGATTTAACAATGTCTCTATGTGTTTGATCTCATCAATTAATCATAAGATTTCAATTTAATTTTTTTCTAGTTTTTTTTTCTTAAAATTTGCTTAAGTTTTGCTTAGTTTTTCTTAAGTAAGAAAGAACTTTTGGTTTCATAATTTCGTTTGAGAGGTGACTTAAACAAGTCAAATTTGTTCTTTTTCTGTAGCTGGTGCTTAAATTCAGAATCCGGTCTCTACCTCTCTCTCAATTTGTTCTATAGATTTAATCAGTTGAGATAATGAATCTGAATACTATTTAGATATCTATATTTAATATTCCAATATAACACAATGCGGTTTGCATATACTTACAAAAGACACTGACATGCAAGAAAAGAAACCAGTAACGTATCAAGCTTTAAAGAAACTTGCTTCATTCTCCTAGCTAGATAACACTTTGTTCTTAATTAAATCTATTTTTATTATTATTATGAATGTTTGAATGTAGTGGAAAATTATGCTTCATGCCTCATCGAAATTTATAGTCCATTTTATAGGATTCGTGATATGGTGTAATCATTTTGAAGGCTAAAATTGTTAATAATCTGTTTCAAAATGGTGATATGGTATTCATGTAAAAATTCTTCTTCTAGGCGTTCTATACATGATTTCTAATCTAAAGCCGATGCTTTTAAATTTCTTCTTTGAAATGACCCCAAGATTGTAGTAAAAGCCGAGTAGAGGGAGATAATTCAAGTCAATAAAAGTATAACGCTTGCGTTTCTTCTTTGAAATTTGGATCGATTTTTCCTAAAAAAGCTAGATAAGAAAAATAGAGCATTTCGAAAATTTTATTTATTCATATTGAATCTAATATGTTTATTTTAAGCATGTCTACAAACGAGTTTTTTTTAGGATGCCAATTTGCAATACCCTTGATTTGAACATTTCATGTTACAATCAGTATCTACTTGGCAACGAACATCATTATTCATCACTTTAACCACATGACAAACACAATCGCATTGGTGCTTGCTACAATAACCACCCTCCGGGCAATGTGGTGTACAATCACTATCTTTCTTACAACATGGAGGTGGTGGTCCAGGAAAATCACCACCACTACCACCACCTTCACAACCGCTGCATCTTGGTTCGTTAAGCTTACACGAGTTTTGGTTGAGCAAACTTTCATTATTTTGAATGCTAAGTCCATTTTCTGCATATACTAATAAGAGATAAGAAAAAAAACAATAATCTCTGAAAAAAACTCTGTAAATAAAAATACTAAAAGGAAAAAATGAACTTGAATTTTTTTTTTTGTTTTTTAACTTACGGACGACGGCGAAAAGTAGAGAAACCAATAATAACATTTTGAAGGAAGCGATCTTCATTCTTAAAGTCGATGTTTTTTTTCCTTTAGATCACTGGTGAAGTTTTTTATTGTTTGGTAAATCTTTTGATGGTGAAGATGAAGGTATTCTTCATCGATTTGTTATTTTTATAGTCCAGTTTAGGTGATGGTTAGATCATTTGCGCGTGGAGATATTGTAGGGTAATTGTTATTGGATTCTTTTGACTAACAAAAATGTTTTACTATTATATTAGTAAACATGAAATTTTAACCCCCAAAAAAAGACTTAGGAGGGGTTATTGGTTCATAGATTTATATGGAATTAGAAATCCAAACAAAAATCATTTGTTATTCAATCATTGATTTTAAAATCCTAACTAAATTCATGTGTTATTGGTTCTATGATTTATAAATACTAGTTAAAATCTTATGTTATTCGTTTAGTCATTTGTTTTTGGATTTGAGAATCCAAATTATGTTTTAAATGGAATTGAATGGAATTGAAAGAGAAAAATAAAAGGATTCAAATCCATGGGTAAACACATGTTATTTCAAAATCCATATATCTTGATTTCATAATTAATAGAAATTTTCAAATTCTATATGGATTTACAAATTAACAAACTAATAACACCCCCTTAATAAACATGGAACTGTATTTGAAATCTAATTAGTACTAGATATTTTGGCCGGATAATAGTTGCCAAATTGGAAATAATAGATTTTTTTCGATTTAAAATGCTATCTATATATATCTTGTTTTAATCAGATTTAGTGGATTATGCTTTATATTAGATGATTGACACACATATTATTATTTTTTAATAATTAGTACAAATGGTCCATACTTATCAGTCTAAATAAGTATTGGATCAAAGAAAATCAAAGATGATTTTACACTTTAAAATATCATAATTTAGTGACAAATACTATTGAATAGGAACAAAATCGAGACCTATAATCATTATATGTTTCTACAGGCTCGGTGCCTCCATTATAACATAAAACATTTTGAAACAACAAAAGATTACACAGATTTGATAACAAAATTTATACATTTATAAATAAGATTCCAACGAGAACTTACGAAAGACAGTGACAAGAAGGGAAACCAATAATACAAGTTTGAAAGAAACTTGCTTCATCATTCTCTTGAAAATATCGTTTGCCCCTAAAACACTTCAATTCTAGAAGTTTGAATGTTGTGGAAACATATGCCATATCGCAATTTATAGCATTTTAGACTACACAATAATTTAGGTGGACCAGATTTTCATATTTATTAAAATTTCGTTTCATTACTATGGAATCTTGAACTTTTTCCCTATAATTGGACGAACCAAATGTAATAAATCAATGAAAATAACTTTTAGTAAATATGAAATCTGGTTCACCTATTACTCGAAAGATTTGTAACGTTTCTTCCCTCCATTTTTTGCTTGGTATCTGAATTTTTTTACTAAAATATATACAATTTTTTATCCCATAAATCATCAAATAAATTTGTATGTTTTATTTCCGCTCGCATTTGTAATAAGAATCACTTACTAATATGCCATCAATAGTCAATACTGAATTGTTTTGAACTAAAAGTGATTTAACTATAACAAGAAAAGAATGCTACTGTTGATGAGTTGATGTTAAACTATAAAAATGATATAATTCAGAGCTCATCGTTCCATTTTTTCTCTGTAATGCATACTGCAAAACTTAAAAGTAAAAATCTTACTTCTTTGATTGTTGAGAAATTTAAACACTTTTATTATATTCATTGATATTCTTTTGAAGACATTTCAAGATTCTACGAAGCTATTGTTACTGCTGGGCAACTATCAACATGTTGTTTTCTTGAGCATGTCTCTGTTTTGGTTCTGTTTAGTGTTTACATTTGAGAAAGAGAAGTAAAGCTTAGAGAGAGATCGAACAACATCACCGATTTTTCATGCATTATCACATCATTACCCAACACAACTTATAGAGAAAGTAGAATAAACTATTCTCCAACAACTACTTACCAACTCCCACTAGTCTTGCTTAACTCTAAGACATTGACTAGTTCTACAAGTAACCCAAAAGTAACTTAACAACTCCAACAGTGTCTTAAGTACTAAACTTCTCTTCTCTGGTTTCTTGATTACTTTAGTTTAGTTTGAGAATCAAATTGGCATTTAGTCAACACTCCCACTTGCCATTTTGTACCTCAAACCAAGCTGTTCACACAAGACATCAAAGCTTGGTCCTGCCAAGGCTTTAGTGAATATATCGGCCAGTTGTTCATCACTTCTGCAGTACTCCAGTTTGATATCTCCTTTTCTTTCTGATTCTCTGACAAAGTGATATTTGATTTGAATGTGTTTAGTTCTCCGATGTTGGACTGGATTCTTACCAATTGCAATGGCCGATTGATTGTCACAATAAATAGGCACTCCTCCTTGATCCCTGTAGTTCAGTTCTTCTAGTAACCGTTTCAACCATAGAGCTTGATTTGTCGCAGCACACAAAGCCATGTATTTAGCTTCCGCAGTAGACTGGGCAATAGTATCCTGTTTACTCGTTTGCCAAGAGAACACAGCAGAACCAATGCTGAAACAATAGCCAGTAGTTGATTTCAAGTCTTCTCTACAACCTCCCCAGTCACTGTCTGAATATCCGATTAACTTTGGCTCCAAGGTTGCAGTGAACATTAAACCTGCATCAATGGTCCCTTTGATATATCTAAGTACCCTTTTTGCTTCTTTGAGATGTTTTCCAGTAGGTTCCTTTAGATATCTGGATAGATAAGATGCAGCAAACATTAAATCAGGTCGAGTACCTGTTAGATATAACAGACCTCCCACCAGACTTCTATAAATTTTTGAATCTGCAAGACATTCTTCTTCTTCTTGATCTTTGCGCTGAGGTACCAATGGAGAAGCCACGCTTTTGCAATCCTCCATATTAAATCTTTTCAGCAGTTTCTTTGCATAGCACTCCTGAGAGAGAAAAATTCCTTCTTCACTTTGCTCTATCTCCATCCCCAAGAAGTAATTCAATAACCCCAAATCTGACATCTCAAATTCATTTTTCATAGCCATCTTGAACTCGTCTACCATATTCTCATCATCACCAGTGACAATGAGATCATCAACATATATGCAGACGACCAAAAGCTTGCCATTGGTTTCTTTAAGATACAACGCGGGATCGTTTTCACTTCTCTTGAAGTTTTCTCTCTGGAAAAACTCATCAATCCTGCTGTACCAAGCTCTAGGAGCCTGCTTTAAACCATAGAGGGCTTTGTGTAAACGTAGAACATGATCCTCTTTTCCTTCTTCTTCAAATCCTAGAGGTTGTTCTACATATATCTCTTCTTCTAAATTTCCATTTAGGAACGCCGACTTGACATCCAATTGAAACAACTTCCACTTTCTTTGAGCCGCAACTGCGATTAGCAACCTAATAGTTTCATGTCTTGAAACAGGTGCAAACGTTTCAAGGTAATCCACACCATATTGTTGTGTGAAACCTCTTGCAACTAACCTTGCTTTGTTCTTCACAGTGTTTCCTTTAGCATCTGTTTTTAGCCTGTAAATCCACTTTACACCAACCACATTTTTGTCGGATGGTCTCTGGACAAGCTCCCACGTTTGATTCTTCTCTATCATGTGTATTTCTTCTTCCATAGCTTCTTTCCATTCTGAGTGCTTTGCAGCTTCTTCAAACAGATTAGGCTCCTCAAACACAGTATAACATCCTTCACTTACATCCGAGTACTCAATGTCTGCAAAAGGTGCATTAAGAAGTATATCACCAAGTGATCTAGTCTTTTTGGGTGCCAGACTAGAGTTTTCTTCAGGACTGCTAAGACTTGACCTTGGAGCATATGGCTGAGTTGTCCTTCTTTCATATGAGTGATCATCACTTGAACTGGATTCTTCATCTCTGGGACTTTCTTCTTCTCTGACTTCAATTTCTGTGGATAGATCACAGTTCTTTATTACTTTCTTGGTTTTCCAATCCCATTTGCTTTCTTCCTCAAAAATGACATCTCTAGATATGTCAATCTTGTTTTCTTCAAGAAGGTATGCCCTGTATCCTTTGGTTTGAGAGCTGTAACCGACAAAAATTGCCTTCTTAGACTTGTCATCCCACTTCTTACGTTTTTCATCTGGTATATGCACATAGCACACACTCCCAAACACTTTCATGTGGTTTAAAGACGGTTTAGTACCATTCCAGGCTTCCAGTGGAGTCTTGTTCTCAAGGGCTCTGGTTGCTGTTCTGTTTTGAATGTAACCTGCAGTGTGAACAGCCTCAGCCCAGAATTTTAAAGGCATGTCTTTAGCCTTGATCATGGCTCTGGCCATTTCCACCAAGCTTCTGTTTCTTCTCTCTGACACTCCGTTTTGCTGAGGAGTATACGCCGTTGTTAGTTGTCGTTCTATACCGTTTTCTTCCAAAAACTTGGTGAACTCTCCAGATAGATACTCTGTTCCTCTATCTGTTCTAACCCTTTTTATTTTGCAGCCGCTTTGGTTTTCAACTAGATATTTGAATTTTTTGAAAGTAGCAAAAACCTCTGATTTTGCCTTCAAAAAATATACCCATACCATTCTAGTAGCATCATCAATAAAGGTAAGTAAGTACCTGCTACCACTTAGCGATGAGTTCTGCATTGGCCCACACACGTCACTATGAATCAGTTCCAGCTTTTCTTTTGCTCTTGACTCTGATTGCTTTGGAAAAGGTTCACGGCTGTGCTTGCTTAGAATGTAGCTTTCACATTTTTCTTTATCTGCTTTAAACTTTGGTAACCCAATTACCATTTCTTTTGACTGCATCATACTCAGATTTGAGTATCCCAGATGACCAAGCCTTCTATGCCACAAACCTGCAACATCATCCCTTGTCATCATCGCATTTTCTTCATTAGACGGCCACCTTAAGTGAAAACTCCTGTTTTCCATCGGAACTTCACCAATATTTCTTCCCAATCGATCAAGAATGATGCACTTTTTCTTTTTGAACTTCACTTGATATCCGTTTGTAATCATCTGTGGGACACTTAGAAGATTTTTACCAAGTTTCGGCACAAGGAACACATCCTTTATGATTCTCTTTCCTTTCTTAGTCATAACCTCAATATCTCCT